TATGTACATAGATGAAAAGATTAAACAAGAAAACAGCAATTTGAATTTGATTTCTTATTGTATAAGGATACGGCCCAGCAAACTCTAGATCGCCAGGCTGCAAGCCTTCTGGCAGCTCATTCAGAGGAACCAGCTTCATAGAGACTGGATCAAACACCAGCTGGTATAAAAACGTCTCATCTGCCTGCTTGAAGCTCTTCTCATAATCATCAGGGACGTACATCTTGGCTTCAATTCTCAAGGATCTTATTAGCTAGGTAGATGTGATTATAAAGACATTTTTTATTGTTAGGGACTATGTTAATTGAATCCAAACCTACAGTAAATTCTACAAACTTTCCTAGCTGTGTAAAAACAATTTCAATCTTACTGCTTTTTATGAATAAACAAATGAGAACTTAGTAGTTACGAAGTGCTCGTAACTACTCTGTGTTTGTGTTTTTCTTGCTGGATTTTAAAGCAAAAGAGGCAGGCAAAATCTTAGGAGTAAACTTTTAATTGCCAAACCAACCTTGTGAACACTGGATGATTTCCTGAGTAATTTGATGGCTGTTTGGAGACCAATGCCCTTAATAGAGGGCAGGTAATCACAGCCGGACAGGATGCACATGTGTCTGAACTTCTCTTGAGTGAACTCATGCAGCTTAAGTTTTGTTAACTTGGAAAGATCTGCTAGATCAACTGCTAAACCATGACCATATGCATCCATCTTGAAGATTACCTGAAAACAAAACAAATTCTCCTTAGGGGTCTCCCTCTATGGACTTATTTAAATTTATATTTCAATTCTTGCAAAGTCACCCAGTGACAAAAGTGCAAGATTAAATAAGCAAAACTCAAACACAAAAATAAACAGGGAAAGCTCAGGTAAAATAGAATAAAATTACTGACAATAGATAAAAGTTGTCAGAGATGGTGCCCATAAATTTTGTGAGAGTCTATCAACAAGTAATCAAATGAAAGAATGTTTCAGCCAATGATAGTTCTTGGACAGAAACTATACTTATATGTGCCACAGGATGTCTGGAGCAGGATGAATTTCAATGGATGAGATGATCTGGTTTTTAGAGAAGACTGATGTTGTGCATAACTCGGGATATTAATAGCAGCCTTTATACAGAAGTGTAAGTTTAGTTCCTTGTCTCCTTTTCTCCATTGTTGACCAATTTAGTTACTTCAGGCCATTAGTCAAGCAACCTTCTTCTCTTGTACACATTCTTGTTACAAAGCTAGCTGCTCTTTGTTGAACCTGCTCAAGCTTATAACACTAGTTGGGAGAATTGGTGATCACTTTTTGAATTATCATGATCATTATTTTGTGATTATGTGTAGTTACTCGGAAATTTGATCATCAAAGTGGTCAAAGGATTTTTGTCTTAAGGGGTGCAAGTTACTGTTTGTGTTTCTCTGTGCTAAAAAATGCTTTTGTTTGCCAATCAAAGCTCTCCAGTCACAACTTCAGAAAAGCAGCTTGCTAAAAGGCAACTAGTGGAGAAATTGAGCTTGTGGACTGGCAGGGACGTAGCTAGTAACAAGCAAATCAAAACACTTGCTTCGGTCAATTTTGTATTTTTGTTGTTTATAGTCATTATAAATATCTTAAATAGCAAGGAAGGGATTCTAGCCATAGACATTGCCTCAGTCATATTTTTTCTGATTGTGTCTTGTGATGTGACTAGGAGCGGCCAGTAATGTGCTCTCTAATTCAACAACACATCCAGCTTATCAGGCTGTCTTTTAAACGAATCAACAAATTTGTATGATACAGGATTGTAAAATTACTAATAGCCATGTCAAAGTTTGATATTCATGGGCATTCATCACCTTGCCATAATAATTTTATAACCATGATTGATGCAGTTGGAAAACTTTTGAGTGACTAGGCTAACCAGCTACATGGACTAAAACTAACAGAGCAAACTTCATGGTCACCTTCAATGCAGAGAAATGCAGGGGCTGTTAAAGAAAGTAACTTTAAGTTCAACTCACATTTTTATTGTCAGGGGTAGTGGGTGGGGGGATCATGTGTACTAAAGGCATCTGTGGTCAAGTGTCGATCAACACCCTTGATCAACCATCGGTCTACATCTCAACCAACGTCTCCATCGATACTCACTTAACACTGAATCAACGTCTTGGTCGACAGTCAGTCAGGAGTCGACTTATTTTTGCAGACATGCCATAGAGTGTCAATCAATACAATGATTCAGTCGACACTCTACCAACTACCGACTAACTGTCAATAAGATGTTGATCGAGTGTCAATCTAGTGGCGACCAAGTATTGATCGAGAATGTCGATCAAGTGTTGATAGAGATGTCGATGGAGTTTCAATCAAGGGTATCCACTGAACAGTTGATGCCTTTAGTACAAATGAATTGATCTGGGGAGATGAGAGGGTCAACCACCAGCAACTTACAAGTACTGGTATAATGAAACAACTGATAGCAAGTCTGACCAACACAATACAGCTTATATGAAGACCTGTCTTGAGTTGCACACCTACCTTTTGACATCCATACACAAGTAAATCAGAGTCTTCAGATATGATGGCCTGTACTATTCCAGCTTTCATAAGATATGCCAATTGGGCGTCAGCCTCGTAAGGTGCTACTATACAGTCAACACCCTTCTTTCTACATTCCTTAAAAATGAATTATATTTATTTTAATGAGAGTAACCATTTTGGAACTAATACTTAGGGTGTAGATCAATGGAAGGAATCATGGCTCTTTTTTTTTGATATAACAATGGTGAGAGATCAATAGTGCTAAAAATCTCTTCAAGTGAGTGCACATAGACAGAGCTGGTTACTTGAATCTCATACGGAGCACCGTGTCTTGTATCCTGAGGTATCCTACACCTTGCATCTCACATCTCATATCACATTTCAAAATCTCACAAAACAACATACCTTTATGACTTCCAGGGCCATCTCAGGGGTGATATCAACACATTTCTGGAAGCATTCCAAAGCCTGTTGTCTGTTACCAGCTCGCAGAAAAGCCAACCCTTTGGCCTTGTTTTCTTGCCTTGTCCTTTCAAACACAATGACATTGTTGTTTAAGTGGCATTTGACAAGGCAGTGTCAGTTCAATACCACAGTCAACACTCTTGCCTGACTCAAAACACAAAGCATTGATTTTCTCAGCTCTGACATCAATCAGACATATTTATATATTTGTTATTTTCTTTCATACATGGAGTACATGCCATTACTGCATGACTTTTTCCTGTGATAGACTAGTATCCCATCGGGAGAAGGGGGGAGCAAAACTCCTGCAAAGTAGTTTTCTTGATGCTATAGAAATAAGGATAAGCTCTAGTGCCACTGGGATGCTTAGGTGCAATGCAGACATTCACTTTGACCTTTCCTTCCGTAGGTACCAGTCTCAACCCCAGAGCCTGTGTATTTCAAGTCAGTGCAACCAAACATATAACATCTTGGTTCCAGTTTGATTGTGCACTTGAAGTTTAATAATGGTTTCTGAACATTTATACAAAGATCAACCACTTTTATTAATGACTAACTTAAGATCTTCTGGTCTCACTCAGAAGTCAAATTCTTGGTGCTGACTGAAAAGGATTGTGACCTCTCTGAACAAGATTGACACAGTACATACATGTAGACTGGTATTGTCACTTGATACTTACTTTCTTCGTTGTGCTTCCTGTCCAGCCTTGGATGGTAAATAAGATCCATCAAAAACCAGAATTGGCTTTACATTGAAATGAAGCAGCATGTTAATGCGTTTCAAAATGTAATTGACATATCTAAAACAAAGTTGACAGATATAGTTTAACAAGTTACAATCATGATAGTCTACTTGAAAAATAGTTTTACCACAATTGCTACTAATCTCGCAATCTGATTGGCTAATTTGCCATTGTCAATAAGAGTCCAGGCAATGCTGCTTGTGTCAATGTGTCATGCAATACTTTTCTCAGCCTGTGCTCTGAAAAAAACATTTTCTTTCATGTTGATATTGAAATGTGGTTTTGTGTGGTCTGTACTCTTATCAACAATGATACATGTCATCACAGTGATCAAAATTTGTTGTGGACTCACTCGCCTGCGCCTTGTGAGTCCACAATGTTTTGACCCCTGTGATGACGCATATCATTGTCGATAAGAGTACAGACCACGCTAAACCACATTCAATTTGTAAATTAGCTTATTCACGCCAGGATAATCAGCCAGTGACACCAATGTCGGCGAATTTCTACTACAAGCTGTTTAAAAAGGTAGGTTTTAATATAAGTTTTTCAATAAAAAATAATATTTAGCATGATTGGTTGATCAAAGCATGAGAAAGTTCGCTTTTTGTGTGGGTGATGTCACAAGTTGAACGATTTTATGACTTGTATATCTGGTCTAGGGAAAACACTGTCACACAATTGACAAACGCTTACATGAAGCTTTTCTTTCCTTCTACTAGCTCCATAGCACATCCATAAGCTCCCTTGTGAAGCCAGCAATAAGCGTCCACCCCAATGACTTGGCCTGCAAAATCTTCAGCAATTGAAACAGGCTTCTGGATTGGCTTCAGTAGAGGAAGTAAGCCTTGGATCCCCATTTCTCGAGATCTTTATCACCAAGAATGATTTGCTTTCGTATGAGGTCTGTTAAAACTATTACGTTTTTCCCTCCACATTACAACTTCGACGCCATCACAGCACACGAGCAAGAAAGCAAGCTGTTGGCTGCAGAAAACAAAGAAATAAGATGTGTTAAATAGAAGTTTTGACCTTTTTCTTTGAGATTTTGAACAGATACAAGTGATTTTCGGAAATCGAAGTTTATTTCGAAAGGGCGGAAGGTGAGAAAACCGCCAAACACAAACAAAACACAACGTGTTTTCACACGCCGCCATTTTAGCTCGTACAGAGCAGCTTCTACAAAGCTGTAAATTCGATACTTTAAACCAAACAGATGCACACAGAATTGCATTCTTACCTTGTCTGTACATCATTTAACAGTCCGATTAAGTTTTTTTTCGTTTAAACGCTACATTGAGAAATTAAAAGACGAAATATTCTTCAGCTTACGCGAATAGACATACAAGATTTGGCGCCACGAGATGGTACCAGACTTCTCACCGTCAAATTCACTCGACTGGGGGTTGGTTACGATAACACCACCAAAAAAACGTAGGAGCAAAATGGCGGCCACGTCAGTTCCCCTTTATTCTCCTTCTTCGCAGCCTATTTTGGAAAACATGGAAGCTGATCCACCGGTAGATGAGTTTTCATTTGGTCCTCCGATGAGTCAAGATTCATCCATGTACTCTGGATCTATTGAAGCGCAGGAGGAATTCATGGAAAGCGACAGGAAAGATGACGACTCCAATGGCAGCCCTCGGTACAGATTTCCTTTCTATTCGCAAATTTTTAACAAGAAAAACTACGACTGGCTGCTCGAGGTGGACGAAACTGGTGATGATGAAGACTTTAAGAAGCCACTGCTGTGAGTAAAGTTTCTATAGGTTTTTGACTTTCTATTAATTCAATAATGATTTCAATTCAATTAAGCTCCTGTTTATTCTATAGCCACATGTAAGCTTATATGCCTGTGAAAAACTTAAGTTTAAGCTTTTTTTTTTTCAATTCTCGCCAATGAAATTGTGGAGAAAAGAGTAATCAGTTAAATCAAAAACTATCCACTTCACGTTTATCGATCCACAGCATCAAAGTAATGACTTCAAGTTGTACAGTATGAACTGTGATGTTCAGCTTATGGTGAAGATCATGCATGAAAAAGATATTCTTCTCCTATCAGAGACACAAGCACACGCAGCAAATCGTTTACTTATTTCTTGTTCTACTTTTCTAGTGAGGAACTTGACATTGATTTACAAGATATTTACTACAAAGTTCGCTGTGTAGTGTTCCCTCTTCCATCCCTGGGGTTCAAAAGAGATGTGCTAAGGGACAGCCCTGATTTCTGGGGTCCTTTGCTTGTGGTGCTGTTGTATGCAATGCTGGCATTGTTTGGACAATTTAAGGTTAGTTTTGTTGAATTCACGTTGCGTTTCAGCCAGGCTTTTAACCAGGAGTTTAAAAGTGGACATTTCCAATGTGCTGCAGGGTCTGCTCAAATGGACAATTTATAAACTTGAGCAAGATGTGAAAAGATAACATAATTTTTTTTAAAAAGTTGGTGTCCACGTGATGCCTAGACACCCATCTGGCTAAAAGCCTGGTTTCAGCAGTTTCACCTTTTCGTAAATCGTATGAAAGGGTTAAACTGCTTTCTGAGAGGGATCAATAATGTAATTTCTCCATCTCAAAACTAGCTTTAAAAGAAATGTATTGCAATTGGCAAGGAGAATTGATTTTTTGATCATATTTGAGACTGATACGGGGAGCAGTTTTTTTTTAAAATCTGAACAGTCTGCACAAGAAATCCTGGAAATCTCTTTGAATAACTGTTAACTGAATACAACTCCTTTAGAGGCATGAAATCTGAATTAAAAATATCCTCCCCCTTAGAGGAGGGGGACATTGGGGGTTTCTGAACACTGCAAAAAAAAATTCGGCAAATACTGCAATATTGCAAAAAAATCGCGTCGTACCACAACACCAATCAGCCAAGTCGAGACTCAATATAATACCAAAACTACTACTCTGTGTGTTAAGCTTAGCGCATATAACACAGAAAGAACAATTAGGAATTTGTAATTTTCGATTTAGTCAAAGTCTGCATACGAGTCAAGTTGCCCATCAGGCTGGAGCTTATTCTGGTTTCTGTAGCATGAAGCGACTACATGTAGGAGTATTCCTACTCCCCCCTGAATGGGATGCTAGTCCATCGAAGGGTTACTTGCAGCAGTAAATTTGCTGGTACCCATTTATACACCTGGGTGGAGAGAGGCACTGTGAGGGTAAAGTGTCTTGCCCAAGAACACAACACAATGTCCCTGACCAGGGCTCGAACCTGGACCGCTCAATACGAAGACGAGCACACTAACCATGAGGTCACCACGCCTCTATGATCCATTGGCATGTTGGCTAATAATAATTGATTAACAAAAATTAACTTACCCTTTTCCAATCGGAAACTGGAAAAGGCTTGGAAAAGTAAATGCTGGAGGACTTGGAGGATAATTTTTAATACCATCCAAAATGTCAAAAACTGCATCCCACAAGTTCAGAGAATACCGCAATATTGCAATTCGGGATTAACATTACTGAAATACTGCAAGAAAAGTTGTCCAATACTGCAAACCGCAATGTCCCCCTCTTAAAGGAGTGACAAAGAATGTATGAATTATCGCTAATGAAAAAAACGGTTTTAGAGTATTTCAGTTTCTTGTCTAGAGAAGTAAAGCTGGGTTAACTGTCTAATGAAGTAATACAGGAAGACATGTTTGTTAATTTATATTCTTTGTATTGGTTGTTGTGTTTGCTGAGATAAAAAAATATGAACATTAGGTGTTTTATCAACAGGTTGTTTCATGGATTATAACAATATGGCTTCTGGGTTCTCTCATCATCTTCCTTCTGGCCAGAGTACTCGGAGGAGAAGTAAGTTATCTATCAGCTTGATGATTTGCTACCATTGTTGGCAAATACATGTGCATAGCAAATGTAATTTCTCCATACACCATGAAGTGTTAACTTTGTAATTGAGAAGTTCAAACAGTACAGGTCACAGATCATATGATGTCATTTTAAGGGATCCTGTGACTGCATACATATAAACTTAATTTATGCCACAAAGTAGCAAAACTTTGAATCCTTTTTTACTGATTGCAATAACAAAGTGGAAATGTGGAGAAAGAGAAATGTTTAGGAATTTCCAGGACAGTCTACCATTAAAGAGCATTTATTTGAAGGGCAATTAAAATTTCAATATAATAGAATAGAATAATTATCAATATGTTAATTAAAGAGAAAATGGGATGGTAAACAATCCTATTCATATTCCCAATGTTAGTCGCAAATTTTAACAGAGCTTTATCAACCTATTGTAGGTGAATTACTCTCAGTGCCTGGGTATCATTGGTTACTCACTTATCCCGCTGGTCTTGACTGCTGCTGCTCTGCCATTGGTTCATTATTTTCCCATGGTTAGCTTCACTGTCAAGGTATTATTACTAGCAAACAAGTGTAGAGTAGGAAAAGTTAACTAAACATGCCAGTGTTCTGAAGTCATGTAGCTTCAAGTCATAATTTTTACTTGCGGAACACCATGCTGTCCTGTTACAGATCAGTGACATTTTTACTATTCTTTCCTGTAAGGACATTTATGGGCAACAAATATTTAACAAATAGTGGGCGAGGGTGGGCAAAACATTGTGATTTGTCATGGGTGAGCAGACCAATTATTCGCTGAAGCCAAAGGCTTAGGCAAATAACTGATCTGTAAGACACTGACAAATCACAATATATTATTTGTAATCACCAAGTTCAATAACTGCTCTCAGGGCTGTCAATAAGGGCCTTAACCTGTAGCACCTGTTATGGCTGAGCATGCTTGATGGACCCTTGTTGTTATGGGTGAACTTGGCTTTAGTTGATAGAGTTCACCCATAAAGTGACAAATTTGTTACGGGTGTGAAGATCACGGCTACAGGTGAATCAAAACTTAATCATAGCCCTGACTTCTATCATTCAATCACCAAGTTTCTTTCCATATTTGAATTACTCTCTGAAAGCCTAGGGAAGTGATCTACCATTTTTGTCACAAGAGCATGGTTACAATTATGCCTGATTGGAATATTATTTCAGGGATTTCATTAATGTTTTCAGCAGAAGGGCAACTGGTTTTCACAGTTGGGCAAAACATTTTGAACTGAACTTTTTTGTAAGAAAAAATGTCCTCTAGATGGTCAAACCCGGCAGACGAAATCCTTCTCACAGCTGGCCAATTTGCCCAATGCCTGGCCCTTAATGAAACCCCTGATTATTTGCAGCAAAACTCATTTATTGAATGAAGGAATGACATTAACTCAGAAAAGAATCTGAGTTCCAGATGGGATTTGAACCCACATCCCTCTGTGATCTAGCTGGACACTCTAACAACTGAGCTACTGGAGACTCTATTGTGAGCAAGGGTGAAATGTGGGTCTTGTACTGGAACGACATCAGGCGGTCACACAGCCAAATGATGACTTGGCACATATGAACTCATAACTGCATTGCGCAGGCACATTAGAGCATATCAAAGATGCTACCAACCAACCCCCAAAGTGATCACCCTCCAGCTAGATCACAGAGGGTCGTGGACCGTTCAAATCCCATCTGGAACTCGGATTTTGTTCCAAGTTGATGTCATTTCTACATCTTAATATTCTTTGTATGTAAAACACATTAAGACAGTATTATGCATTGAGGAGACCATTATCTCTAGGCAGTTATTTGCAGGTCACATGGTGGGCTCTCAGCCAATGAAAACAAAGAAAAAATGCATCGAATGATAATAAATGTTATGGGCAAGTGATTGTATTACAGACAGAAATTGTGATATTGCTTGTACTTGATGTTGCAGAAGCCATGCTTGGCTAGCAAAACCATTGCATTGTGTTTTGAATCTTTTTGCTGTCCCTATTTAGACAGTCAGTTGGGTGTAGAAGGCAATGCAAGAGTTAAGTAACTTACCTGAAAACACATCACAGTGACCCCTGTCATGGATTAAACCCACACCATTCAATAGCTCTTTTTCACAATTAACTTTCTTTATTCGCATTACAATATGGTCTAGCATGTATGTGAGGCAATTTCAGGCTATTTTGTAGTTTCAGCCTGAAATTTTCTCACATCCACATTGGATTACATTGTATTGCAAATGAAAAAACTAATCGTGAACAGGGCTATTCATAATTCAGCTTGTTATGTAACCATTAGGTCATAGTTCTTCCAAAAGAAATGCACCTCCCAAAGGACTATATCTGACTCAAACATTCTAACACTTAAATTCACTTCTATTGTTAGTTGTTTGGTGTGGTGTGGGCGTCATACAGCGCCGGATCTCTCCTCATCCAAGACGAACTCAAGAATAAGAGACTGTTACTCATGTATCCGATCTTACTCCTTTACATATACTTCTTCTCTTTGTACACTGGTGCATGAGACAATCCATGCATTCACCTGCAATATAATGATTGATTGATTGATCTAAGTACTAATGTTGCTAGAATATGTAGTGCTGAAATGAAAAGGGGCTTCAATCTATATGTGTCGTAATTGAAGGGGTGCTTGGGAGAAGATCGTAAGTGACATCTGATAGACTAGAAGATTCTCTCAGCGAATTGCTTTTTGCTTCCTTGTACAAAAAAGAAGAATTTTGATGTGAGATAGAGTCACTTAGGGCTTTTTCCCATGCACCCCTTAGATTGCTGGGACACTTTCCTCCTCCTCCTCCCTCTCCTTCAATGCTAGCTTGCAGCAACACAAATCAGTTTACCCAACATTCAAGGGGAGGGTGTGGTGAGAGCATGAATTCGTGTATTTTGAGCAGGAGCAAAGTGTCCCAAATAACTGTGGTGGTATTATAGGTCGTGTTTCTGTAGATGATTCTCTCAAACCTGATCTCGAAGCAAAATAAAATCTTAAGATAGAAGGTACTTAAAAACAATAATCAAACTCAAGACAAATACAATATAGGCATGAAGGGGGTAATATGGTCCAGTTAGAGAAAAGCAAAACTTGTTGTTATTGTTGTTGTTGTTGCTTTATATAGAATAGATAGAATTTTTACCCAGCTTGTCACGCAGTGCGTGCAACCCTAATACCGGCTGTCTTCTAGACTGGTAATTTAGCCGATAACTCTCGATTTATTGGTTTTCCTTTCTTTGATATTTTTAAGCTTGGAGCCCGTAAATTTCGTTTCTCGCTGGGTAGTAGACAAGGAAATGATGGGATTGCTTTGAAACTGCCTGAAGACTTAGGGGAAGTTTGTATTTGGCAGATGTAGTGGTAAAGACTTGCGACAAACAGGGACGTGAGTAAGGTTAGAATTAGCGGTAACATGGATATGTACATTTTGCCGTGTAACTTACAGGTACTGTAAACGTTTTTAAATTTACAAATTTCAGATTGGCAATAAGGTTGCGCGAGAACTCTCGTTTGTACACTGTGAGTTTTGAATTCTATTTTCTATTATTGGGCTTCAGGTAGTTTTTTCGTTTTAGGTAACATGTTAAGTTTAAAATCTCAGGTTGTTTTCGATACAGCTCTACTTATTTTT